CTCACAACACGAGATGTAGTACGTCGAGCGAAATAATCCAAACAATGAAACCCTCATGTATATACCATATGTCTCAAATTGTGAATCACTAAATATCAATTCCAAACTAAGAATAAATGATAAAGGAAAACAATACAGAAAAATAAAGTTACTGCAATATCATAAATATTGACCATATAACTCGCACTACCCTTGGATAGATGATGTGGATACAAGAACTAAATCTCATGTAACTCCCAAACGCAAAGTAATCCAGTCACAATATAACTCAGCGATAATTCGTATTCATAAATGGCTTCTGCCAAAGACTCAGGCTATCAAATATATCACAATACAATATCTCATAAGACTTTATAACTCATCGCATTATCATGCGGGACGGATTACCGAACCTGTCATCCTAAATATGTACACGGCTCATTAGTCTCATCGTATCACCGTACGGGACGGACTACCAAATCAGATATCCTAGAAGTGCGGTTCTCTAGCCTCATTGCATCACCGTGCGGGACGGACTACCAAGTCAGGTATCCTAAAATCACGACTTAATGGCTTGTACTAATGGCATATCGACGCACTATCCCAAGTAATACTGAGCTGTGCTTATCAACAATATCCAAACATGCATACGCATTATAATTAATTATTAACTCAAACTTGATCGAAACAATATATGTAATAATCCTCTTCGGGATATCAGTATATGTGTCACAACTTTATTCGTGTACATCCATAATTGCACGTGTGTCATCATACGGCTCGAACCCCGAGTTCACGATTAAACGTGCAAGAAAAATCATCACACACAAAAGCAAAGTGTCTGTCGACTGTCCCTAGGGCATCGGTCAACCGACGACAAACGTGCATAGAGTGCACGCGGAAAAGACCCTATCGGTTGACCGCTTGCTTCTAGTCGGTCGACCGACCAGAAAGGATTCAAAATCCTTAATGACATAGTCGGTCGACTGATCACTTAGGATCGGTCGACCGGTTTCACTATATCGGATTTTCTCATGTTTCTGTGTTTCGTAACTTGTCTTGAAAACAAAATTTTGTTAGCATGCAAGACAAAACATGATTTAAATGTTCCTAATTACTAAACAAAGGTTAAATTAAATATGATTGTCCTCTTGAAATTAAACAGTTAGGGTTTAACATCCTAATTAATGAAATTCTCAATTAACAACATATTTTTAATAACATGATTAATAAACAGAGATTTATTCTAATTATTCCACATATATAGATTTGTTTAAACAATATCACATCGCCTATGTGTCATAAACTTATGGTTTAAACATTTAAATTAGCAAGATTTTCATTTAAAAGATTAAATTAGGATTTTTAAACCATATTGAAACATAACTAACAAATTTAATACAATCCTACTAATCATGATCAACTATTCTTATTTAACAGAGATTAAAATTACAGATCTTTTTATCGGTTTAAGGTTTAATATCAAAAACTAGGTTTTTATCACATCAGATTTAAACTTTAAGCATTGTATTAATCAATTAAATATAATTAAATCATGAGTTACTACAGGGGAATGTTTGGAGGAAGATGATCTTGCCTCAAACGTCGTGTTGAACTCTCAAACATGTGTGTGCAAGATTCCTCTTCGCCAAGCTCGCAAATCCCGCCTTCCTCTCGATAAACGCCTCAAGTAAACTCCTAAAAACCCACAGATTAGGGTTAGGGTTTGAGAGGGAAGATGGCTGTTAATAAAACACGTGAAAAGATAGGAAAAATGGGTTTAAAACGAGTATATATACTCTCGTATATAACTGGGCCTGAAACGAAACAAAACTGACCCGAACACAAATCCTTCACGCTGGGAGTCCGTCGGTCAACCCACCACAACCGATCGGTCGACCGATCGGGTATCATTGGTCGACTGATCGGCTTAGGCCGGTCAACCGTCCAGAACACACAGGTTGACTAACAGCTTGGTTTGTGCATGTTTTCATCGTTTATTCACATATATACACTGAATCGATCTCAAATCGATTCCTAGCATACTCAACCATTAATAAATGATATTTATCATGATGCAACTCATTTATTATTATTTATCATAATACATCCAAAATTATGGGGTTTTACATTGCATTGTATAGAAAAAAAGAAAAATATCAATTTTTTTACTTACGCTATGGTAACTAAGTATTATGTGCATACTTTTTGTCAATTATAGTAATTTTTCTCATCTTATCTAGCTTATTATATCTCACAATATAGTTGATCAATGGCTTCACTTTAGTTTCTATTGCAAGATTATTTATATGTAATTTTATATTAAGTTTATGATTTCTTTAGTATTTTAAGAATAAAGTATAAAAATTTATAAATACTTACTAAATTTTCTTATATCTTTCATAAAACATGCTTTTTTAATTAGGATAAAATTATTCAATATCTTCTTCAAGGGGAACTCGGTCGGTGCTTCTTTGTTAGATATGCTTTTTATCAATGTCAATTCAAGTGATTCATGAATATTTTCGAATTTTGAGTTTATTTCCTTCACTTATCCATTTGAAATGAAAACAACTTAGTTCTTTTAAATGATATCTCTGAACTTTCTGATAGTTTCTCCATACATAACTCATTGTATTTTTTACCCTATAAATATTATCAACATTAGAGATAAATGTTTATACATTATAATCAATTAATACTAACCTATTATATTATAGTATTTTATTAATTTGTCTTCTATCAATTAATGTTATTAGTAAAATTATATGTAGTTCCTTGAATTTATACAGTAAGTTTAATTTTTAATCTATCATATATTTTTAAATTCTGATTCCTTAACTGGATAATTTTAATCTACGGTAATTGCTATTTTTTTACCGGCATCAACTTAGACTACTTTTAGATGTTGAAAAAAGTTAAATTTATATATCTTAATGTTATAATTTCAAACATTTTCCTTTTTTTTTCTTTGCCAAATTTTAGCCTTTTCATGATTTTGAACTTTTAAGGGTGTGTTTTGTAATTTTTAAACTTTGATAGTATTTTATAAAAAAATTTAAATTATAAGTTGGGTGCTTATAATTCATGTTTCATGTATTGGTGGTAAATTTTCAAATGTTAGAATGTTTCTTGTAACTGTAAAAATTTAAAGGTATTTTTACAATTACTAAAATTTTGGGTTGTTTTTTAAAAAATTTAAAATTTCAATGGTCTACTAATAATTTTTAAATTTGATGTGTATCGGTTATAAGTTTTAAAATTTCAAGATTTTTTGTAATCTTTTACTTTTGAGGGACTTTTGTAATTTTTATAACTTTGAGGTTATTTTTTATAATTTTTTAATTTTTAAGTGCTTAATGGTAATCCTTGGAATCTGTCTATGTTATTGCTAAGTTTTAAAATCTCTGAATTTTAGGTTGTTTTTTTGTAATTTAAACTTTTAAGGTTGTTTTTATAATTTTAAAATATTGAGGGTGTTAATTACAAATTTTAAATTTTTAGATCTCATGTTTGTTTTTAAGTTTTAAAAAGTCAATGTGTTTTGTATAATTTTAAACTTTTAAGACTATTATATGTAATTTTTGAAACTTTTGGGTTTTTTTATAATACTTCATGTATTATAATATGTTATCCACGTATAATTTCTTAATCTTATTTTTTTAAAATTGTTGAGTTATAGGTAGTTAATATGGAGTTAATATAAGATATAATTAGCATTTGGTTAGATTAAGATTTAAATAAAATATTTAAAATAATTTTTTAATTGTTGAGCTATAGATAGTTTATAGGAATTAGATAAGATATGATTAAAATTAGAATAGATTAAGATTTAAATAAAATATCCAAAATAGTGAATGATAATATTGACCATGAAAAGTTTTTTCCTGAACTTGTGCTTTTAAAAGGAGTATATGCTATGACATTAACAAAAGGTTTCTATATATTCTGATAACGCGATTTGTTGAACAGATAAGAAGAGGCTGTTACATAAAAAGATAACCTTTTAAGTTTAAAACTTCCTCCAAACGGAAGGGGGAGTTTTTTTTTTTTTTTATAACGCTTTGATTAAAACAAACTCAAATGTATGCTATGCACAGTGTTTGGACGGAAGCAGTTGCTATGATCATTGGTAGCTCCAACCACCATCTTCAAGATATATGTTTGGTTGAATGCTATTACAATAGCGAGAAAATCTAACAAAAACAATATGTGCTCATCATTAGGGTAGTTGTTTCAATGTTCAAACCGAAGACTACTCCAACACTAAGAGTTGAAACTACATAATGTACAGGCACATTTATTATTCAAACTGTTCCTAAACAATGTTTGAGTCATATCTTATCTTTCTGAATGTAGTTTTTTATGCTCAAAAAATTGTCCGTTTAGCCCTTTCACACTTAGAATTGAGAAAGATTCCAAGTAAGGAAAAGTAAATGCATAGAATCAAATTTATTGATAATGGTATGAAGCACCTAAGAAACTTTTAAGTTAGAAGAAAGATAATGGTTTGAAGCACCTAAGAAACTTTTAAGTTAGAAGAAAGATAGGAAAATATTTTTTAGGTGCTGTAAAGCTTTTAGGGATTACTCAAAACCAGGGGACTAAAAGTTTGGTCATTGCATCTACTAATGTAAAAAAATTATGTTTGTAATGTTTCCTACGTGAATTGAATTAAATTCCACCATTTGTAAAGTTTGATCTCTTTATATTTTTTCCATCTTACCAATAGATTCTGGAATTAATTTAAAATTTATGTGGTACTTACTAAATTATATTTGGTAAGATTTTATTGCCTTTTATTTCAATTATTAACGGGCTTAATTTTTTTTGAGCCATATAATTTGAGGGATCTAACATCAGTTTCAATGATTTGAGGGACTAATCTCAAGATTCACCCATATCTAAAACCCCCAACCTAGAAGTACCTGAGATTAGGAGGGAAAATATTTTTAAATGGGCTTTTACAGCCCATTTGTCGTCCACGGCCCATTTAAGTAAACCCTAAAGAGTTGCGAGAGAATCCAACATCGAACTGATCTTCTCCTCCATCGAGACTCTTCGCCGACTTCGAACGAATCTTCACTGAAGCTCGAAGACTTGGACATCGAGGGGTAAAGTTCCTGCCTTTCAAGCCCCAAATTTTGCCCCTTTTCGATTCATCGAGTTTTGCTTCCCAAAACCCTAACAATTTCGCGCGTCGATTTGTGAGCCTTGACTCCGATCTTTATCGAGATTTTAGGGATTAGGGCTCACAAACTCGAATCTAGCTCCCTGTTTGATCTAACCAATGTTTTGGGTTTTTTTCTTTTGTTTTCTTCTTCTTGATTAGGACTCGAGAGGATATAAAATCAAGCGAAAATGTCTCGAAAAGGATTAATGGAGCAAGACCTTAGTAAGCTGGACGTGAACACGCTGACCCCGCTGTCGCCGGAGGTGATTTCTCGTCAAGCTACTATTAATATTGGTACGTTTTAGTCCTTTTTTTTAATTCTTTCATGATTTTTATTTTCATATTTACTGATGAAAATACACAAAATTCCTACAATGCAGTAATTTGTAAAGAGGAATAAATGAAAATATATCTAAAGGAATTAAACTGCAATTGGAATTTGTGAAGAAATCAAACTTGTTAGGCCAGTGGCACAAATATCTAAAGGAATTAAACTGCAATTGGAATTTGTGAAGAAATCAAACTTGTTAGGCCAGTGGCACAAATATCTAAAGGAATTAAACTGCAATTGGAATTTGTGAAGAAATCAAACTTGTTAGGCCAGTGGCACAAATATACATTGCTTAGTTTATATGTTTGGAGATAATAAAGAAAGCAGTTGTTTTTTGAACCTAGTATTAATAAAGTTTTACTGTTGACAAATATTTGCAACCTTACTTTCTTTTATCTTTTTTTTTCCCGTTCTTGACATGTTATGCTGAAGGCACTTCCAAATTTTAAGGGCTTGTCCTTGCAATAGGGATAAATGATATTCATTCAGCGGACCTTAGACTTATGAATTAATAGGGCATGAGAATATTTGTCATGAGTTAAGATCAGAGGATTTCTCCAAGATGACAACTTAGATGGAGATAGAAGAATATAAGGGCTGCTTTGCAGATGCGGCATTTTAATCTATATGCTGACTTTTTTGACAGAAATCTATATGGTATGAATTAAAACAAAGAACTCCTTGACAGTGTAGATCAATGGTGCATTGAGTTATCTTGTTAGCGTGGCACGCAAAAAACTTTGCCATTTTAATAATGGCCTTGTTCATGTGGCTCGGGGAACACTATTATTTCTTGTTTCATATCTTCTACATTTGTTTCTTGTGTTCCCAGAATTTTGGTTAAACTTAAAGAAATGTGTACCTCATCATTAGAAGGTTTACACGGCACAAATGTCTCTTTTTTTTGGGGAGAAAAGTGGCATGATGATTCTTGAAGTTCGATGGTTGATGTGTGTGCTAATGTGTCAGGTACTATTGGTCATGTGGCTCATGGAAAGTCAACTGTGGTGAAAGCAATATCTGGGGTTCAGGTGCTATATTTTCTTCTTTATGTTTATTGCATCCTTAGCTTGTGCTTTTTACTCTTTTAGTTATTAATTCTATAACACAACCTTTTGAAGATTTGAATATTATTATTAGTTTTTCCCCCATGAATAGCACAATTAATGGTGTACAACAACTCAATTAGAATTAGTGGCTTTGGTTTAGGACGCAATGAACAATTGGGAATCTAGAAAAGCTTAAATAAGATAAATATAGGTTATAAAGTTAACTAATAATATATAAAGACTTATTTACTTGTTTGGATAATTATTTAATAATACTATATATGTGGGTGTGGGTGTACGTATTTCGGGCGGGTGTATAAGTAGAGTCTAAAATTATAAACCCCAAGAAAACCCTCTCCAAAATTTGGAATTTTGGAGTAGTGGCAGGGACCCTTGACATGCTATCAAAGCAATCTAGGATCAAGTACTATTGGCTACACATTTAAAGCAGATTTAAAAAATTACTGCTTTGTGAGTCTAGGTTTTGGCCCATGAAGAGGTGCTCAACCCGAGATGGCATGTAAAAGTTTAAAATTATAGGCCTAAAACCTTTCGGTGTAGTGACAGTACATTTGATATGAGGTCAAAGATTTCAAAAATGGATACTCATTTTTAGGTGGCTTACAACGCTCTCTTTGAAAATGTGGAATATCTTCAGTTAGGTACTTTGAATAGTTTTGAATGGCTGCTCGTATATATGATATTCTCATCTTGTTTGCTCAAGATGAAAAAGCCTTATCCTGTTTGTTAAAGATGCGAAAGCCTCATCTTGTTTATTCAAGACGCAAAAGCCTCATGTGGCATAACAAATCTAGCAACTTAAATACATTCTCCCCCTTATATACTTTTGAAATCACATCTTCCCTTACCTTCTTCAACCTGCCTTACATCCTGCCTCTTATTTTCTTCATTCTCCCTCATATTGTCCCTCTTATCTTCTTCATTCTCTCTCTCTCTCTCTCCCCCTCTCTCTGTCTCTCTCTGTCACATCTTTTTATTTATTCATAGTTTGAGAAAATGGAGAAGAAGGTTCAGTATAAGATTCAATCATTCAAGTTCTATGAGAAAGATAATCTAGCCTAGTCAAGTGGATAACCTTAGCTTGTCAAAGTGAAAATTGGGATTTAGACCTACTACATCTATAACAGTGGATCAAGCAAATATTTCAACGATTAAGAAATATTGAAACTATTGTGAAGAAGTTTTTTGTTGTTTGTAAT